CCTCAAGGGCATCCACTGCACCGTCTTCGCCACCGGCTGCATCTACCAATACGACGATGCCCACCCCATTGGCGGCCCCGGCTACCTCGAGACCGACCCTGCCAACTTCAAAGGCAGCTTCTACTCCGACACCAAGGGCCACGTCGAGGAGGTAAGTCATCAACTCTCCGTGCTTGCGACGGCGAAGCTAACCCCATCACAGATCATGAAGCACTACAAGAACTGCCTCATCCTCCGTCTCCGCATGCCCGTCAGCGACGACCTGCACCCCCGTAACTTCGTTACCAAGATTGCCAAGTACGACCGCGTCGTCGATATCCCCAATAGCAACACCCTCCTCACCGACCTGCTCCCCGCCTCCATCCTCATGGCCGAGCACAAGGATACCGGCATCTACAACTTCACAAACCCCGGCGCCATCTCTCACAACGAGGTGCTTGCCCTGTTCAAGGAGATTGTCCGCCCCGACTACACATGGAAGAACTTCTCCCTCGAGGAGCAGGCCAAGGTCATCAAGGCCGGTCGCAGCAACTGCAAGCTTGACACCACCAAGCTGGAGAAGAAGCTCAAGGAGTACGGCTACACTGTGCCCGAGGTTCACGACGCCTACAGGGCGTGCTTCCAGCGCATGAAGGCCAACGGTGTTGTTTAAATGAAATAGATTTAGAATTGGCGTATCGGGAGCTGTTTGCTTTGGAAGGAATCATGAGGCGGAAAAAATGACATAGGATTGTGGAATTTGAAATGGGATAACAGTTCAAGCCAAAATGGGAGCAGCATAGCATGAATCCAAAGCAATCGGGCAAATGTCAGCGCAGAGCTCCAGTGCAGAGTGAGAGTACATCGTGAGTCGGCATGGCCGGTGCAATGAGCAATGTGCTGGCATTGGCTGGTCCCACTGGTAGTGTATGCAATAGAAGCTGGCGGAAGCTATGCCGAAGATCTGGCATTGTTCTGGAAGCTGGATGACTCGCGGCGTTGAGCAGCCTTATTAGGGGCGTTGATCGTCGAATGTGTCGGGAGAACTCCATCGCAACATCCACGCGTAGATGGTGGCTTGCCGTTTATAGGTGCTGTATCACTCCGACAAGCTTGCTGCAATCGGTTGTTAGCAGCAGCAACCATGTTTGCACGGCAAGTTGGAACTCTACGGTCGCGATGCAGGACGGTCGCAAACATGATCGTGATGCCGTGCAACGTCATCCCTGTCAGCAGGACCCTGTCCGCGTAATCTCCAAGGCCGCAGTGGACTTCGCCAGCAACAGTCGCCTGAAGTATGACTGGCATCGCTGAGCAGTCAGCCCAACAGATGCCACCTCGCTGGGGAAGTGGCGGGCCGTCAGCGGGCTGGGCACCGGTGGACGTTGCCTCAGCCCACCAAGGCCTAGAGCACAGTTGGGAGTGCGGTGCACCTCCAACGACGTAATTTGGCGGGGCACCACCGCAAAAACGAAAATCCACCCAAAATTCAGCCCAGCAGCGTTGCTGAGTTGCGGCTTCCCGTCCGGTCGGGTGCACCTGCTGTCACCGTCACCGATACTGGGCCAATGTGTGCGTGCGTCGCCTAGTTTTCCTTGTGATTTTCTACGAGGATATTGCGTACCTGACCTACCTACCTCGCCAACCTTACCTCATCGCCATCCTACCTTGTCCACCGCTTGAATCATAATCGCTGGCATCCCTACCCGCCACCACCCCGCGATCTCTGATCTCTGCCGCGCCGACCGTATTTTTCTCTTTTTCTTCCCCTTTTCCCGGTGCGACTCTTCCATAGATCTCTAGCTGTCATCGCTATACCTTGATACCCCCCTTCCAAACTTTACCCCTCCTAAAATTACCTCGACCATGGTCGTCGACACGGCCTACTACGACACGCTGGGCGTGAAGCCCGCCGCCACCGATATCGAAATCAAGAAGGCGTACAGGAAGCTAGCTATTGTTCACCATCCTGGTAAGCACCCTGTCACGAGCATCGCAGGTCTTTTCGTGGGCGCGCATCACTGACGCCAAGCAATAACAGACAAGAACCCCAACGACCCCACCGCCCACGAAAAGTTCCAAGAGATCGGAGAAGCATACCAAGTCCTGTCCGACAAGGACCTCAGAGCAGCCTACGACAAGTATGGAAAGGACCATGCCAAACCGCAGGAGGGCTTCGCCGACCCCGCCGAGTTCTTCACCTCCATCTTTGGCGGCGACGCCTTCGTCGACTGGATCGGCGAGATCAGCTTGATGAAGGATCTTACCGCAACAATGGACATCACGATGCAAGAGGGCGAGGAGGGAGCCGAGGGTGCTGAGGGCGCCGAGGGCGAGTTCCCCGGCACCGAGGAGGCTAAGAAGGAGAGTATGAAGGCTGCCGCCGACGGCGAGAAGAAGGACGCAGAGAAGCCCACCGCCAGCGGCACTGCCGCCGCACCGCCCCCTGCCGTCGTCGTCGAGGACGAGAAGGAAAAACTCAAGGCGCGCGACGCCGCCGAGGCCGCCGCCGCATCCTCCGGCACTGCTACCGACGCTCCACCCCCTGCCTACCAGAGGGAACCCTCGCCCAGCCCCTCCGGCACCTCAGGCTCGAAACGCACACAGATCCCCCTTCGCCCGGCTCTTATGGATCGTCCGTCGGACGAGGTCGGCGGCGTCGAGACCGAGGAGTCGCTGCGCAAGAAGGAGAAGAAGAAGGGCCTGACTAAGGAACAGCGCGAGCAGCTCGCCGCCTATGACAAGGAGCGTGCCCGGGTCCGCCAGGAGCGTGTCGACACCCTCGCCCGCAAGCTCCTCGACCGCCTAAGCGTATGGACCGAGACTGACAAGGGGCCGGACGTCACCAAGTCGTTCCAGGAGAAGACACGCCTCGAGGTGGAGAACATGAAGATGGAGTCGTTCGGTCTTGATATCCTGCACGCCATTGGCCAGACCTATCTGGCCAAGGCAACCGCGTTGCTCCGGAGCCAGAAGTTCTTGGGCATCGGTGGCTTCTTCAGCCGCGTCAAGGACAAGGGCACTATCGTGAAGGAGACGTGGAACACCATTAGCAGTGCAATCGACGCTCAGCAGACCATCGAGGAGATGGCACGCATGGAGGAGAAGGGCGGCGCCGACTGGTCCGAGGAGGCCAAGGCCGAGTACGAGAGGCGGGTCACGGGCAAGATCCTGACGGCGGCGTGGCGCGGGAGCAAGTTTGAGATCCAGAGCGTGTTGCGCGAGGTGTGCGACTCCGTTCTCAACGACAAGAAGGTGCCGCTGGCCAAGCGCCTGGAGCGCGCCGAAGCCATGGTACTGATCGCCGAGATTTTCTCCAAGGCACAGCGCACGCCCGAGGAGGAGGGCGACTACCTCGTGTTCGAGCAGCTCGTCGCCGAAGCGGCCGTCAAGAAGGAGAAGAAGAAGGGCAAGAAGCACGAACACGCGGCGGCGGCAGACGTGGCGGAGGATGCGCCAAACGTTCCCAAGCCCGAGAAGGCGTAGGCGTGGTGTTTTTCTGTTGAGCTTTAGATAACCGATCCCCTCCGTGTTTTTAGCCTATTTTTATATTCAACGCTGACGAGCACCCACTGCTGGGTACTCTTTTTTCATGTACTGCCGTGTAATACTCTTCAATACCATACGGCCACCGCACACGGGTGTGTGATGTCTGAGATCCCCGAGATGTCGCCCTTGCGCTCCGTCACGGATTCCACTACCCAAGTGATGATGGATGCCGCTGAGTTTAAAATCGATCTCGGCCCTGTCACTTCAAGGCGCGTGGGCGGCATGCGAGTTAAAGCGTGCTTCGCTTTCGTGATCGTAGCATTTCTGTCCATGACCATGATGTTCGGGCTTCACATGGTGATGGGGCACTAGCTTGAATCTCGTGGTCTACGAGTCTAACCGATGACAACTAGAACGAGGGTCGTTGAGAGCCAGTCAAGGATAGATACTTCGAATGGGGTTTTGGCGAAGGAATTAGGGGTATGTGCTGCACCCTATGTAGTCTCTCTGCCTCTCAACACAGCACAGAAGACCTGCTCCATCCAGGAAAGTGAAGGAGCCCCCTCCCCTCCGGCCCACGCCTTCCTTCCGCGGACGTAAATATTCTCAGCCCGTAAAACGAATAACCTCAGCAGCCAACTTGAAAAGACGAGAGAAGAGGCAGATGGACACGATGAGGAGAGCCGGGCTAAAGAAAACAGGACGGTTGTAAAAAAAAAAAAAGAGGAGAGAAAAAGACACAAAAAAGCTCGGGTTCGATGTTGAACCCTACGAAAAACCGACGGTTTTTACAATGTTCTTTTTTTTTCCTCGGTCGGTCTTGACCGTTCGACCACGCGGTCTTGCGTGCTTTGTTTGGGGGGCTCTTCCCCCGATGACTGCTGCCAGAACTTGCTCTCATAGAGCTTGGGGGGAGCTTCCATGGTAGCCTGACCAGACCATAGTCAGCCGGTTCCTCGAAGGGAAGGGACGGAACCGAGGGTCTTGCCATTTCTGCTTTCTTTGCGGTAACCCGGGACCGTCCCAGGCCTTGAACCTGAGAAAGATGGGATCTCGGAGTGTGAAGTTAACAGTGCTGATTATGACTATAGGAACTCCTTTCTCCATCTCTCAGGACTTTTCGATAGGCTCTATCGGCGCTGATCATATGCACCGCCGTGCGACATACGTAACGTGCGATGATCACACCGGCCGCAGCCAAGGGCCCGACGATGGCGAAGACAGTGAACCCGTATGAAGCGGAGTGAAAAAAGAGCGTTTTCTTCCAGAGCTTTGGTGGCCAGGCCCAGCTGCATAGCCGTCAGGACACTCGCGATGTACACCGTGGCAGACGCCAGCCAGGCGAAGTTGTCACGGAAGAATTCTCCATGTCGATACCACCGCGGAACATACGTGCTTTCCCTGAAGTTTGACCGTATAGATGGAAGTTTGTTCAATCGGCTCCGGCGGAGTTCGCCGCACATGAACCTCTCGTGGATTTGACCATCCGTGTGTTTTGTGTTGAGCTTTGCGACGAAGCGTTTCCAGTCTGCCTATTCGATAAGTTCTGGTAACAAGCAGTTGTCCTGCGCGAGGCGGAAGTCGCTTTCGTGCCGTATCAGAGCGCGGTAGGAGTACAGGAAGCCCAGGGCGGACTTCCAGAGCGTGCGACGTGAGCACGACCTTGAGGGGTTGTCGGAGCAGTCACAGCCGTCTCCGCAGGATAGATGCCGAGTCCAGAAGGCAGGCTCTAGCAAGAAGGGCGGGATCGGCTTGGCGTAGAACTGCATGTGGGAGCAGACGAGGTGGAGGTCCATTGCTTCGACGACGATGATGTCTCGGCCTAGGACGCGCTGGAAGTGCACCGCGTTGGGTGGCGTGGGCTTTCCCGCGATCCAGAGCCTGTCGACGAGTTCGTGGAGCCTGCCCTGGGCCAACTCTGCGTTGAGAAACTCCTCGTCTACTGTGGGTGGCGAGATGATGTCTTTTGGAGTGCGCCTCGGAATCCTGCGTGTTTGGCAAAATACGAGGCAGGCAAGAGGGAATCAAGACTTTCCTCTGTTTTGAGCATTCGGCTTTGGAAGGGGACGATAGATTGGTTGGGCTTGCATGTGTGAGCGTACGATCTAAGTGTGAGATAGTTAATCAAGTACCCATTGTGTTCGTGACATGACACATCGCCTTTTTGGGTGGATTTCCTTGGGTTCATCTGTCAGGATTGCACGAGGACGAGGGCCTTAGATCTGTACATTTTCCTTCCACAGATTTTCTGCGTTGGCAGAACATGGCCTGGGGCCTCATTGGCTTCCTTCAGCTGAGGAAGTTGCTTGTGTTGTTCAGCCACCTCGCCGGGCCTTGCTCTCTCCATTCGTTTCCTCTGAGAAATTTACCCCGCTTCATACCACAGTAAGTGATATCAAGCCATTGGCTGGCTATGCATCCTGCCCTGGGTGATGCAGCTATGCACACAGCGGATTTCGGCTCGGCTCTTTCAGCCCCGGTATATCCCAAGTATTGGCTCCTTTGGAGAGTAGCTTTATGTCTTGCGGTAGTTGGACTCCAAATACAAGTTGTGATATCCACCTGAGATAATTGGTCAATGTTTAGATTTAGTGATGGAATGGGGACTGGGAGACAAAGGGAGATCGAACGAGAGAAAGGAAAAGGAGAAGCTCAGGATCGTATTTGAGCCTCAAGACAACACGACGGACTTTTCGACTGCAGTTCTTGGCTTGAGCCGTCTGATCCCATTTTCCGTGGAGCAGAAATGGTAGATATAGAAATCCGCTTAAGCGAAGCATATATGCCTGGACATGTCAGCTTCGTTTCTGATGCCAGCCACAGAGCGAAGCATCTGATGGGAGCTTGGCTTGAGTCCTTGGTCAATGATTTTCCCCCGACCCGACAAGTCATCCATGTAACTTGTCCTCATGAGAGCTGCAAACACTAACACGAGAAATACGAGACCCTCGCGGGCAAGCTCAGCCGAGGTAAAATGAAGGCTCCGTGTTGTCGAAGGAACAGAAGCCGAATAATGCTTCTCAGAACCCTATGTTCCACGGAAACTCCCGTCTGGGCACAGAATCACGGCATAAACCAGCGTTGCAACGCGTCTCGGAAGAGCCCCGTGAAGATCGGCGACGGAACGATCTCGTCATATCTTCGCGGTTGATCTACTCGGTATTGGTGCGACGTGGTGGGAACTGGAGTTGTCAGCGGCGGTCCGGACTTTTGGAGTGTCCGATATCCCGTGCCTCTGTCGTTTTATGAGGTGCTGGCTTGTAGACGAGATTGATGATGTCGAATTAAGAAGTTTCCTTCTTTTGAATGGAGAGGTTTGTATTTAAATGATTGTTGATTAAATACGACGGTAGTTCGCAGCAAGTCAAACTCATTTCATTCACTTTTTGATCGACATTTATTAGTCTCCCGCCGGCCCCACCTGTCAACTCAATTGCTCTTTACCATGTCCAGAACGTTAAAAGTCGGCGTCATTGGTCCCAAAGGCCAGGCGGGAAGCTGTGTGGTCGATGAGCTCTTGGCGCGAGGCCACTCTGTCGTTGGCATCTCGCGAAGTCCTCCCGAGCAATGGCCCAATTCCGACAAGGGCACTTGGTCGTCAGTGTCTGTGGACATCCACAAAGAGCATACGAAACTGGTTGAAATATTCTCGTCTGGTTTCGACGCCATCGTCTCTTGCTACGGACCGAGTCTCAAAGTCATATCGAATATTTACTCGGAGGCTGTCGAGGGCCACGGGCGGATCAAGACGGCTTTGTTGGCTTCGGCACACGATGGCCCCTTCATCATCGTTGGTGAGTCTGAAATCTTTATTTGAGAGTATTTGAGCTGTTCTAAAACATTGAATAGGCGGCGCCGGCTCGATACACGTATCCAATCGCCTTCAACTTACTGACCAGGAGGGCTTTGCGTTTAGTTGGTGGTAAGGACTCTAACCTCGCTCATCCTGGTAGTGGCTCTGCTGACTGAGTTGTAGGTGGAATTGGCCTGACGAGCATCTCGACTACATGACGGCGCGTGGGCTGGATCACGGAAGCCGGTTCATCAGCTTGGTGGCCACGCTTGTGAAATGGAGCAGGTCTCACATTCAACGGCCGAGATGTAAGTTCTACCCTCTCAGTCGTATGGGGTCAGCCTTGGACAGGATCTGAGGATTTTTACCAATATCAAGTCTATTCTTGGATTCTAAGCCCCTTCGTCTATTGGGCGCGGGCTTGGGTGAAAGGCGCTCTGACCAACAAGCACACCCTGGGGTTAATCACTGGTAGTCGGATCGCCTTTACCATGTGGAATGGCGTCCAGGAGAAGTCGTGGTCATTCTTGTCGCCGCCTGGTCTATTGCGTGATAAAGGTTAGTGTTTTGAGAAATCCTGTTAGATGTTTTCTGATACATTTGTCCAGGAGTGCGGACGGGAGAGTACAAGGTCTTTGTGGACAGTCCCGAGGACCCTGCGGTTGAAGCAGCGAACGGCGGTATCTACAACGAGGACATGGCCGTTGCTATCGTTGATGAGGTTGAGAACAACAAGTTGGCGTATAAGCACTGGAGTTGCACCGGCCCTATCGGACTGGGCAAGTGGTAGTTATCGAGGGCAGATAGTTCAAAAGTCAATCCTCATGGCCTAGACATATTGAGTTATACTTTGACGGTGACAAGCTCATAAGTCCGGCGGCATTTTAGTAAGAATGGAGACTTCGCGGTCCGGATTTATAATCCAGAAAGCCCCGACCGGAGATGGTGCCAGGGAGAGCACCGCGTCCGACCCCTCGCGGTCCGAAACCCACCGGCTCGCTCCGCGTCGAGACTCGTCAGTCTCACACCGAGCCGTCAAAGCCTACCGCATAGCATAAGCAGGAGACTTAATGACCAACCGGAGGTCCGATATTGCTAAAGAAGGTTCAATCATGCTGCGACGTGAGTCGGTGAAATCGGCGTGTTGGTGTGAGGATGGCGGGCTACCCCTCATTTGAAGAGGTGATGGCCGCTTCGCTTCCCCGAATCCTAATGAAGATGGTTGAAACACTCTGGACGGGACGAACGAATAGGAATGGTTGGAGGCAAACCTTACTCTGGGTTATGGCAGCGGCGGAATCACGAGGTCCTTGCTGGTGTATTGGGCTGGACGATACATAAAAGCGACCTACCCCTCTTTCAGGCCTCGTGGTGTCGTGTTCATCACCTCTTTACATCATAGTGCTCAAAGATCGCATTGATTAACATCAAGAAAGAAGTACAATCTCATTCAAAGACCAAGAACCGAGGATTTGCATTCAACATGGCGCCCGGTGACAAGGCCAAGGCAAAGTTCTTTGCTATTATTGAAGACCCGAAGAGATATGATACCACATGTAATACGCTCCTTATTGATGAGCGAAAAGACCGCGAGACTGATGCAAACCTTCGCAGGCTACAAGAATAGACCCATGGCGACGAGGACCCCGTCCGGGGGATCCGAGCTGACCAATGTTGTCAGCCGCCGCGAGAGCTCGAGCAGTACCGGTTCGAACCACCAACAAAGCCGCATCAGGGGCATGTTGAAAGAGTGGATGAATCGGCCGGCATACTAAGGCAGAGAGGGGTAGGTGTGTGTAAACAAGACCCAAGAGCGGGAGATCGACGAAGGGTCAGAGGAAAGGGGGGTAACAAGAAAATGCAAATAAATACCAAGATTCCCCAGATATTATAGTCCATGTGAGATGAGAGATATCGCTGTAATTTTCCGACCAACTGTTCATTGGATGGCGGCGGTCCGAATAGCGCTTGAGTACGCTTTCCGTCGATTATTCTGATGTAGACCCAACGTTGTTTCTTGAAGGTTTGTTTTTGTATTGCAACATTGCAGCAGCACAAGCGATGCTCAGCGACCGCAGGACATTTGGATGAGTGCATAGTAAGACAACATGGGGTAATCTGAGTAACACCGCCACCATCGATAGGCAACAACTTATGGCTGCCTAGAGTCAACACCCGCCAAGCTGGCTGCACCTGCATCAGTCACATAAAAAACACCATACTCTACAAGTAGTCTGCAAATCAATGGGAATGTTCCCAAATGTCATCGCAAATTCTCGAATCACCTACCAAGATGTCGCTGCCTTCAGTGACCATCCCGCCCTCGAAAGCCCACACGCACACCATCATCTTTCTCCACGGTCGCGGCGATAATGCGGAAACTTTTTCGCAATCTCTGGCATACTTTACAGACTCCCGAAACCGTACTCTGGCAGACGAGCTCCCGTCATTTCGCTGGGTCTTTCCCCAAGCCAAGCTGAGCATCCCCGTAGCCTTCCCGAGGGACAAGGTGTCGCAGTGGTTCGACATCTGGAATGTGTCTGACTTCTCTGAGCGGGAGGAGCTGCAGGCCGAGGGCTTGAGAGAAAGCGTGTCTAGAATCAGAGGAGTCATCGCCCAAGAGGCGGAGTTGGTCGGAGGAAGGTACGACCGCATCATCCTTGCAGGAATCAGCCAGGGCGGCGCGACGAGTGTACATACGCTCCTCAACCTGAAGTTACCAGAGGGTCAAAAGAGGTTGGGCGCATTCCTGGGATTTTCTTGCCGCATGCCGTTCCCTGGGAGAAACCTCGCCGACACCCGTGCGATATTGGGACTAGAAGACGTCCCGGGAGATGACCGGCTGCTGCGAAGTACGCCAATGTTACTTGAGCATTGCGTGGATGATCCTTTGGTACTCGTCAAAAATGGTCGCGTTCTGCGGGACACGCTGGGAGGGTTTGGAAGTCAGGTGGAATGGAAAGAATACAAGGATGGAGGGCATTGGTTTAACTCACCTTCTGGTATGGACGATGTGATACGGTTTCTGAAGGCACTAGGGTTTGATGAGAATAAGAAGATAGATCAAGCAAGCGGTGCCATTGACCTCTCATAGACACAACGTTATGAGACGTATAGAATCATCACCGAGGCAATGTACATAGAACGAATCTTGAAAGTATTGAGAGCTTCTTCTTAATCTGTATTGCAATAGCACTAATTCTTAGCTAAGCTGAGTTCCTGCTACTCAACTAAACCGAATCCTCTACGGCTCATGAGACGTCGAATCCGCGGACACACTGTTCAACGCCTTTCGCATCTCCTCGCAAAGCCACCGTCGCGCTTACTGACCAAGGAAAGTGTCAGCAACATACAGCTCGCGGACGTTGGTCATGTTCACTCCGACGAGCTTCCAAGCCATGATGCCATCGGCAATGTCCTTGTCCTCCTGGTCGAGCAGGACGTAGCTCATGACGGGGTCGGTGAACTCGGCTTCCTGGCGGAAGTAGGCGTCGTCCTTGTTCTCTATGAAGTGCTGCTTGTTCTTGCCGTAGCGCTCGTGCTTGCGCATCTTCTCGACGAGCTTCTGGTCGAAGAACATCTGGCCGGCGTGGGTAGCGACGTTGTTCTGGACGGTGTCGTTGGCGAGGGCCTCTGTTCCGGCGGCGTGGGTCATGATGTGGACGTGCGGGGTGCGGCCGGCGTAGTGGCCCGGGAAGTTGGTGCCGAACCAGACGGCACCGTCGGCGTTGGTCTTCTGGAGGCCGCGGTGGAAGGTCTTGAAGGCGTTGTCGGGGTCGGAGTCGCCGGCACCGTTGGCGTTGGTGACGACGCCGGAGTAGACGCCGGTGGCGTTCGCGTCTGGGTGATGTTAGTGGGATACTTCTGAGATGGAGGGAGTGGGAGGGCTTACGCCAGACTTCAACCCAGACGTCAGGGGCGGGCTCGCAGGTCTCGGTGTCGATGATCTGGAGGTCGAAATACATGGGAATGCCAAACTCGTCATCCCAAAGGGCCCAGCGGACAAACTCTCCCTCGACGTCTGTCACCATGGAGTCAGCATAGGTCGCTTGGAATTTCTGAGGATGGGGCACTCACAGAAGGGACCCTCGGTGGTCTCGATGCTCAGAACGCAGCCATCATCGCGGGTAGCAAAGACCTCGGCATCAGTCGAATCCATGGTGATGCTGCCGTCAGTGATCTCATGGTCGGTGTTGAGGACATTGTCGACGGTGCGGCGGATGAGCTGAGCGTGCTCGTTGTACTTGGCGATGCGGCGAGCGACAGCCTGATCGAGAATTCCACGCTGCTGAAGCTTGGGGATGCAGTGGGCAAGGCTCATGGTGTTGTTGATGGAGTACTCTTGGCGAGTAGCGATCTCGCCCGTCAGGTCAAGGGATCCGTGAGCAGCAGCAAGACGAGGCATCACAACCAGGACGAACATGGCGACGACGTAAACGGCGAAGCCAATAGGGGTGATCTTCCGGCCAACCTTGAGGCCCTCCATGACGGCGTACTGAAGTCTGGGGAGGTCAATCACCTGATTGATGCTGTGGTAGCACTTGCTGGAGAGAGAGGTAGTCTGGTCATCAATAACGATGAAGTCGCCAGAAGTGATATCTCTCTGAATTTTGATGTTCTCGTCGGTGATTGCCATGTAACCTTTCTCGAGATTAAGATCAGTGCCGGCGGCTTGGTCGAGGGTGGTGGAAGCCATTGTGGAAGGAGCAAATCGTGAGACAAGGACGTCGCAAAGTATGAACGTAAAAGAACTGTTTGAAAGAATGAATAAAGAAACGTGAAAGCGTCAAAAAGACAAGCAATCAAGCCCAAAAAGCCAAAACTCACGTGAAGAAGCGATTTGGTAGCGTTGTTGTTGGGACGATCTCGTGAGGTCGGGTTGGTGGGTGGTGAAGTTAGTTTTGCTTTTTGAGAATGGAATAAAAACCTCTTGTGCCCAAGCTGTGGTCCGAGCTCAGGGATAGAATCTCAAGTGAGAAACTGAAGCAAAGTGTGAAAGGAAGGAGCGAAGGTGGGTGAGGAAGCCAGGTGAAGGAGGGGTGTGGGGCTTTGCATCTCAAGCAGGAGGTCGAGATGGAAAGAGCATGAGTCTGAGGAGTATTCACCTAAGAATAAGTTAAGCGAGCTTTCTTAGTATCACAAAGCTCAAAAAGATGATGATGCCTGGAAGATAGAAGACACTGAAATTCAGCAGTCCAAACCAGTTTGTGGTTTGAAGACTACTTTTAGCTGACATATTACTTCAATATTCATAGGGCACAAGTGAATTTATGGAGACAGAGTACTAATGTGGCTGTCAATTCTTTCACCTTTCATGATATTTGGCTCTGCCTTAGATCTTAACCTCAAACGACGGATTCTCCTTAATCTTAGAAAACCACTCCCAAGCCTTCTCGGCGATATTCGGCGGGTTCCAGGTCTCATGGTCAGGGAAGACTTGACCTCCAACATTGATCAGTCCGATATGAACCCCCTCAGACTCATAAGACATGCGGAGAGTCTGTGCCAAGTTGCGCTGGGCGGCCTTCACCAGAGAAAGCGCAAAGAAGGCAGGGTGCGGGCTGTAGGGGAGGACAGAGCTAGTGATGATCAATGCCGGCGTCGACTCTGGGCTGGACTTGGCGAGTTCAATGAGATGAGGGATGTATCGCTGAGCCACGGCGTACAATGCAGAGACGTTGATCTGGAGATGACGTTAGTCTGCCGCTCGTCATACGTAGTTTCGAAATGGCAGAATTCCGGAATTACCTTGAAGTCATATTCCATTTCCTTCACGTCATGAACTAGCATCTCTGACATCTGTACCCTGGCAGCGTTGAAGAAGACGCACGATGGTTTGCCCAGATCCGCATCCGCTTGGTCGAGTACTTTGGTGAGGGCATCTGGGTCGGTAATGTCTGCGGTGTAGGTCTTGACGGTCGCGCTTGGGGCAGCTTCTTCTACAGCCTTTTTCTCAATCTGTAGCTGCTCCTCGCGTCTCGCGATGAGGGCAACATTGCTGTAGCGCTTTGAGGCGAACAAAGTGGCCACAGAACGCCCGATCAGTGGGCCAGCTCCGATGACGAGGAGTGTTTGGTTCGTCGCCATCTTTTCAGGGATGATACGACGGGGTGAACGCTTTCGGGGGTTTTTCTTCGGAGTGCGGTACGGTGAACGAAAGTAGGAGGTATGGCGAAGAAGAGGAGACGGGCCACGGCATTTATGATGGTTCAGAGTTCATGATGAAGTAATCACGCCAGCCCAATTCAGACCCCGAAATCAGCGTGGTAGGAAGTGGGCGATCAGCACTAGTGCTATGCAGCTTTGATGGCTTTAGGCACGGTACGGCATGTCCAATCATGAGACGCCTTAGATCCGATTAGGAGACTGACGTAAGATATGCATGTGCGGAGAAAGTAATACATTCCTGAAAGCTGACACCGCTGTGCGAGAAAGATCCCCTGGATACGATATTCCTTTCCGGTAATAAAACAGCAGCAGCACACAATCTTATAGGTCTGGTTCGGAGAGGAGACACTCAAGAAATGAGAGCTTCTAGCTTAGCGCAGAAGTAGATGAATAGACTCATTACCGCCACGAGACGACTAAGACACTCGACTTTCAAAGATCGATCAGCAAATTTCATATGAAAATTCTCCTTGAAAATGTTACCAGGGCTTGCTAATTCAGAGGCCAATACTATTCTATTCCCGGCTCCTTCCACCATTTTGACTTATATAAAACTAACCTGGCCGAGGTTACCCTCGCAAATCGATCTTTCCATCCTGCTGGCATATCGCCATGAAATCTGACGACTTGAAGATTCTTCAAGTCTGAAATAATTCTAAAGAATTCGTCATGTTTCCTCTCCGTTAACTTTGCCTCCCACACCTTGGTGTTGCCGCTGCTCGGCCTCGGCTCCCAATCGACGACCAACTCATTCAGATTCGTTGCCCGCCGCGTAACTTCGCCGAGCATGCCCAGCCAACGATTCCAGTTGGGATACTCCATGGCGACGAGCACATACAGCCGGCGCAGGCGTTCGAAGCGGAGCTTTCCATGCACGGCGAAGCCGATGCGCCGGTCGCCCCAGCCCGCTGTGTGCACCCGCATGACGGCATCCGAATGGACTCGCTGATGGAGCTCTCGGTAAGCGCGCTTGGATGTAAGCATCAGGGGAGGGATTGGTTTTGAGTAACCTCCCTGCTCAATGTAAAGATGCAGAGGCCGGAGGGTGTCTCCGAAGTCGTCATGGTCGAATGAGAGGTAGTACTCGTAGATACGTTCCCTGATCTCCCATGGTAGTTCAAATAGCTTTGAGCTTTCTTGGTTGGTTGGAGAAGCCATCTCGGCGCCACTGAAGGATGTCAGACTCGCTTCACACATCGAGCAAAAGGGCTGGTAGTGGCTGAGCTTACACTTGATTGGTTGACTGATAGTTGGAACGGTTAACATCAGCTGCTTGAGAAGTTTGGATCTTCCTCGTCTCTTTTCTATCTGCTTCAATATGGCAGCCTGCTGTGAAGATGTTGCTGCCTGCTTGGTGCCGCAAGTTCCGTCCGAAAGTGTCGGATGTTGCGGTTGACCCGCTTCCGGGTGCTTACGCGACGGGATTGGCCACTCGTTCTCGGCACCGATGCGGGGCTGGCCGAATGTGCCGAACACGGCTCCGTAGGTATGGAGAAATGGGGGTCAGTCGCAGTGCGTCGGGAGAGATACTTTGAACCACTTGAATCCATGCTTCAAATACCCAAGGTTTTTATCTCAAATATTTTCGAGACAACCTCATATGTCTCTATTTTGCTAAAATCAATCATGCACCATATGTGGACCAACTCCCGGACCAAATTCGTCCGCCCGAATGACGGACGAGCTCCGGCATCAACCCTGTCGTAAGCCCGGTTTTGACCCACCACAAAACTAGGTACAATGACCAGGCTTCAGCTTCTGTATCTTGGTCTTTCCTCCAATGTGCCTGGCAGATTCCACAACGTCGCAACGTCTTCAGCTTCCTTAGCACGCAGGATTTCCTCGGTCTTCAGTTTGTCTGCGGAGTACACTCCGAAACGGAAGAAGCTGAATCCATTCAACGAATCCGCCAACCTCCGTCTGAATCCAAACAAGATCCCGAGTACACAAGACCCAACGGCCCAGATGCCAAAGGGAATCACCGCCACTAACGGTGGAAGCTCCCCTTTCGTCAAGACTTTGCCTTTCTTGGATGAAGTCAAGTTTGCGTAGGGCCAGCTGGTTTCGAAACCGTAGACGCTGTCGTACATATGGTTAAGAACTTCTTGGCCCCATGCCAAGTAGACTGACTTCTGCAGATCTTCTGAGGTTACAAATTTGGAAACCAGAACTGAGTTGGACTCAGACGTCGTGGCTCGAATGTTGATTGACTTGAAAATGTCCTCCAAACTGGCCGCACTTGCCACAGCCTCCACGATGGTGCCTAGTCGGCTCACCGGCTCTTCCGCATTTACTTCTGGATCGTCATACGGAGTTGGTTCTTCGTTTTGAAAATCAAAAAAGCTGGATGTTCTTGCATCGACCGTTGCTGAGCCGAACACCGATCTTACGGTACAGCGGACTCCAATAGCAGCAGCAGCTTGGATGGTGCCGCGGGGGTGATCAAACTTGTTCCAAGTGTCCTTCGTTACATTTTTCTTTGTTGTAATATCCACTTCGTTTGTATAATTCCTCTGTTCGAAGAACGTGGTGTTCATGAACCAGGACCCGTTACTAGCCTTCATGAAAGGTGAACCGATTCCCCGGACGGTAGTGCCGACGGTACTGTTGAAATCTTCAATCTCGATAACTTTCCCATCAACTGTAGCATCAACAGAAGCATTCGTTCGTGCCTGCCAGACAGCCCATTCAAGAACGTTGACTTGGGTGTCAGTTGAGACGAGCGGCTCCGGTTTGTTGCCAATGGTATCTTGGGAAGCCTGTGTTTCTTTCACGTCCAACCTGCTCCCCACCTCGGAGTATGACCATATGTTGGTGCGTTCAAACATTTGAGCCGTGGCGCAGGGTTTTGTCGAGTTCCCATGTGATGGCCAAAACGAACGGCACCAATGACCCGTGTAGTGGCCCAGAACAGTAAACTCAGAAACATCCTCGACAATTGAGCAGTTGTATCCGACTCGAAGACCCCACGGCCTGCCAGAAATTGGCCCAAGCGCCTGCGGTACGATGAACATCTCAGGAATCCTTTGGTCTGTTGGGAGACGATTTGGAGTCTCGGCTAAATTGTCGTGGCCTTCACGATTGAAACAGTCTGGAGTGAATATAATTCCGATACCGGGTAGTGTGGCAGGGGATCCCATTTGCCAAAGGGCCTGCGGCGCGGGCTCTTTGGTGGTTTCACCCTGTATTTCATATCTCTTGTGAAAATTTGTCGAGTTTCGGCCAACTACCATCGGAGCCTCTTTCAACCGAACATATCCATCAGATAGCTCCATAGTCAGACCCGAGAGAGGCATTCCGACGTACAGAGACAGGCTGATGAAGGCGAGGATGTACCAGAGTTTGTAGGTCTTCAGAGAATCTCCCAGACTGGTCTTTGCTCCGCTTTGATTCTTCTTGAAGGCTTTTGTGATGCATTTGAACCAGCCGCCAGGTCCGCTCCAGGTCCCCTCGCTGTGGCTTAAGAGTGCAACCAGGTGACGCGCCCCAAACGTCTTCGTCTCTAGCATGGCAACTTCAACTCCGACGAGGCCATGCTTAGACCATTCCAGGGCAAAAACACCGATGATGAACCAGGAATAGTACACCCAAATTTCGGTTGCTGACCCAAACTTGATTGCGTCGTCTTGCGGTCGGGACAGAAGGTACTGCCATATCCAGTAGTAGTAACCCGTAACGCTGAGGGGTACAAGCAGGCCAATGATTGTTCTCGTCCAATATCGACTTCTTGGGGGGGAGGGGGGTGCGACCGATAATAATTCGCCAGTACTAATGTCTGACTTTGGGGTGATAGGAGAAATCAAGTGATAGGCATCGTTCCCTTTGCCGAGCCAGTCATTGTGAGACATTGTAGCAGAGAGATAGGAGTTTGGGGGGACCGATCCTGAAAGTCTGATGAGCAGGAATAGTTACAGCACTTCCCTCGTGGCTACATATATAATATTGCCTAATTATACCGATGCCTATTCCACAGCCAGGGATAATCTAAGCTTGTCACGCAGCCTCGATAACCTCTGCCAGCTGGCAACATGAAGCCCAACTCGTATTTTCTGCTTATGGCTTGGGTGACACTTTATTTAGGCGAGGTTGAGCAATCAGGACGGTGCATTTCTTGCAGCCAAGACCAGCTATCCGCCAGCCTGCCGATACACACCAACTTATATGTTAGCCCCGGGCGAAAGATGGGTATTCGAAGCCTGATGTTCCCTCAAGCAATTTGTGAAAGGCCCGATTTGAGGCTCACCAAGAAGTTCGAAGAGGCGACATATGCCTCTCATATAGACTCATAACCGCAAGGTCACTCTAACTAATCGTCATTCTTCTCAGTCAACGTTCCATTTCCATACATAACGCTCTGACTCCTACCACAATCTTTCGCTTAATAAGAATATAGTAGACGCTACTGGTGAAGTTGGAATAATCAGGCTGTGATCAGTGATCGGGAGAGCTGCGAGCGGGTTGCCGAAACAAGAATCAGTCTGCGGCTTGCGCCACCCCCACCAAATCCTTCATTGGAGCTCGGGTTGCACTTTTGACGGCAGTGAGCCTATCTTGTTGTCGGCTCAGCCCACATGTTAGCTGCGTCAATTAAGCAGGATAAATGGCGACTGGGGTCTCATTTCTCAGGTGACACGGATAAAGCCTCGTCCGCCGCGGCCATTTCATTCAATCATCTTGTCTTTGCCAGAATGCGCTTGGTTACAACATTTTTATTCTCTGTCTGGTGTTTCGATCTTGTCGCGTTCATTTTCGTAATTAGGTAGGAACTATTATCAAATATTGGCAATAAGTCTTTTCATTTCACTAGGCTTATACGCAAGAAGAATGCTGCCTTTGCCGCTCATAAGAGAGAAATATACTGGCTGTGATATCGGTACCCCGTGTGCCAAACCAGCTTTCGAAGGAATGAGAGAAGTTGTTCCGCTTTTGATGCTTGTTACACGTTCTAAGCACATCTATCCGTCCAGACAATGAACACAGGCAGTCAGCCCAGTGTGTACGGGTAAAGCCGGGAGAGCGACGATACTCTCAATACGTCGGGCACTGTCCAAGTAGCGGGCAAAATTACAGAGATCCAGGGCAAATATACACAGAATATGATCTCGCACCACACGCTCGCTGTAATCATGAGTTCGCATGATTGATGCTGACATTACGCTTTCTCCGTCGGCGCCTGGATGGCGACAAGCTCAGGGGACCCAAGCTTCATCTCCCGCACGCTCGTCAACAAATCCTCCATGGAATCGACGTCTGTAAGCCACCACTCGCTACCAGTTGGCGGTTCCAGCATCAAGGCGTCAAACTCTCTCGCCGCTTCGGAGGGACATGGGTGTCCCCGAGCTACCCTCTCCGCCAGCCGCGACATGGCTGCCGGCGCCCAGATCGCCAGCAGCGGCTCGCAGCTTCCATCCATCGACTGGTAGCAGGTGACCGGAACAGAATCGCGCTTGTACATGAGGTGATAGATGGCGTCGGGCGGGAGGAGAGGGTATTCGCAGGTGACCACGACCCAGTTAGCCCACGGGTCGTAGCGGTACGCCGAAAGGAGGCCGGCGGCCGGTCCGGCAGCATATCGAGGCTTCTCCGCTGGCGGTTCGTCGCGCAAGATCTTCACTCTCGGCTCCTTGGGCGAGTCCCCATTTTCAGAGGTCTCGTCGGATTCGGCCGAGAGTAAGCCATCCAGATACTCGTCCGTCTCAGAATCGGGCGCCAAAGAGATGTAAATCGTCTGCGGCTCCGGGAAGATGGCGCGGAGGAGTTGTAGCTGGCGCTGATACAGGGGTGTCCCGTCGGGCATGCGGAGGAGGTGTGTTGGTGTGCCCATCCGAGTCGATTTGCCCCCTGCTAGCAGCAGTGGTCGCATGGCTGGCAGTCCCATCTCCGCGCTGGTCGTATCTCACCACCGCGAACCGCGGCAACCCGAAATCAAAAAACACCAGATTGACGAGGACAGCTTGGAGATCGCTTCCTCGGAAAATGTCCACTCGTCTTTTCTTTGCAAACCCAACGGGTACGTCGGCATAGCAATGCTGACTTTTTGAATGGTGCTAGCCCCTGCCTCCCCCTGTATCTATGACTTCTTGATTCTCAGACGTCATGATTACGCCATGACAGCCATGACAACGCGACTAAGCCTGACAAAGCCACTCACAAAACATGCACTAAAAGAAGAAACCGTTTGTTTGAAGAGGAAAAGGTCCGAGTGACAAAACATAGCGGCATGGCAGTTTAAACTATCAACGCGGCCCAGGGCCGATCCGGGCCGGCGACAGATCTTGGATCTCCTCGGAGATGCGATCCGGAGCGATGAGATCAGCACGCCCCGCTTCCCCGGCCTGTTGTCTCTTCTCTCTTCAGCCCAAGGGTCCGGATCGTTGCCAAGAAAACAATTACCGCATTTGTAAAGTTCTTGCTGGTGACAAGAACTCAACAGTCACCTTCACGATACAACAGATAATTACTATTGTTCAAGTTACATGTCCCTTTAAACCGAAATGCAATCATGCCAATGGCTTCAAAGCCTCAAGGTCTCCCTCCACCCAGCCCAAATCATGAAAGATCATGCATTCGCACAAGCATCCGCAATTTCACCTCACAATGGTTCCTCATACCGCAGGGAACCGCTATCCTTGCAGCAGTCTTGCAGCAGCTTGACTACCGCTTCAACGGCCTGACAACCATCTCCTACGTCTTGTTAGTGATGGCCATGGTTCTTCTTCTGTGCATGGTCAGCATATACCTGCTCCGCATCGTCTTGTACCCACGAAAAGTCGTACAAGCGCTCAAACATGACGAGTCCGAGCTCGCGGGGCTCTCGAGCGTCTCCATCGCCTTCACGTCCATCATCCAGATGGTCTCCCTTGCTCTCGTCCCAGCGTGGGGCGAGCGGTGGAGCAGGACCATCTACGTTCTGTGGTGGATCGCCTTTAGTTTTGCCGTGACCATCAGCATCGTCCTCCCGTTTATCACAGTCAAGGTCTATCCCTCAGGTGTCTCACGCCTCTCTCCCGCGACGCAGCTTCCGCTCACCGCAGCGCTGACAGCAGCAGCCGCCGGCGGGGCGATGTGCAACTCGGCCGCACTCGCCAGCGACCAGCAAGTGCCCGTCATCATAGTGTCGTATTTGCTCATTGGCATGGCTCTGCCTCTGACATTTGCTCTGGACGTGCTCTTCTGGGCGAGGTTACTGGGAAACTACCAGCCGCCGAAGAAGAAGGCGTTCCAGGACATGATCCTCTGCGGCCCATGGGGACAGTCCAGCTTCGCGCTGCAGATGCTGGGCAGATCGGTTCTGACGGGAAGCTTCGCGTCGTACGCGAGCGGCGTGTTCCTGACTGCGGACGCAGCGGCGCCCGTCGGGTACAGCAGCATTTTCGCCGGACTTGCGGCCTGGGGTTTGGGTACGTTTTGGTGGTTATTCGCGATCCTGGGTGTTTTGCACGCTTTGTTTGAGGGTTTACGGCCGAGACCGATGCCGTACACGTTGGCCGCTTGGGCATTGGTGTTTCCCTGGGTAAGCAGCCAGTGTGTGCAAAGATGGCGAGTTTATACTAATGATTGCTCACATGACAGGGAGTTTACACAAACGCGGCGATACAACTCGGCAAGCTACTGGATTCGAAGGCGTTCAAAGTGTGGTCTACATGCTTGGCACTCATGCTAGTTGTGATTTGGTTCTTTAATGTCCTGATGACAATGCGAATGCTTGTATTTAAACGTCGATCTTGCGTGAGAATATGACCTGTCAATCGACCTTGACCCCCGATCAACCCAGTGGCTACCTTGTTCAAGCGGTATTTTAAGCGTTCATCCCATACTATGTATTTATTGCAAATATCCTCACTTGATAGAGCACTAGCTTAATGTTGTTACCGAGTTCATCCTGCGGTGAATTCTCTTACTGAGTATGCTATCAAGCTTAATTGATAGAGGTTATCCTGGATATGCCGAATCTGGGTTTGGTTTTCTAGTCTAAACTCATATAATACTATTATTATATCTGAGCGAGGAAGCTTAACTAAATCTCAACCCTGACCTATTTTTCGAGAGAATAAAGGGTGTGAGCGAGTGCCGAGAATAAAAGGTCTCTAGTTAGGCCTTGAATAGAGCCATCTCCTCATCAGACAGATCAGCACTCTGAGTCCTTGAATAGGGCCATCTCTTTATCAGACAGACCAGCCCACTGAATGCAGGCCGTGCCACAGGAGGTAGGGCGGACGGTGATGACGTTGCAAGAACCTCCGAGAATGGTAAAAAGGTCCAAACAAGCGGGAGGGACGTTTTCAAGCCGGACAACTGGACAAAAGTTAATCGTTTCCCCTGCCATGCTTGAACCTTGCTGTTGGCATGCGATACTCACCACCGCTGGCGGGGAAGGAGTGGACAATCTCGACGCCCTTTTTCTGCTGACTCTCCTCCTGGCGGTCGCACGGCTCAAAGACGTACGAAGGGACGTTACAAGAACCGACCTTCTCGACCTCAAGCTTAGGGACCTCCTTGAGACCGAGAAGATCGCTGAACACGGGGCCATTGACGGCACGACCACTTAGAACAGCGGGCATGGTTAGCTCGGGGACATGAGCAGGCGTTCGGTAATTGCAAATAGGCATTTTGGTGGCTGAGAGACCAAGGTCTGAAAAATTCTAGGAAGACGGTGTCGAGAGTGATGAGGTGAGATGAAGCTCGACGACGGGTTGTGGTATTGCGGGCAAGGTAGCTTCCTCTGCAAGGCGAGCGGCTTCTTCATATGTACTATGGGCTCTTCATAGAGGTTGCTCTGTGAAGCCCAATAATATTGTGGCCCGCGCAAGTGTCTTCGACAAAGTTATACGACAAGCAATAATTTATGCCCGCAGGCAATAACCTGCCGTGCGAAAGCGTAAACGAAAAGTCAGAAGATCACGATGGGGGGAACCAAAGCTCATAGAAAATCTGCTCATGATAGATAAGACCTCGATGTGAGAGAATAGACTTTTTGTACAGTACAGGAGAAGTCTCACCTGTTGATAGCTATTGGGTCATTGTATCCACGATCACCTGTTTACCAAGAACCTGAAGGTAAACGGTCGGGTTGAAACAAAAGCAGCAAAATCAAACTTTACGCGAATAAAAGAAGCTCTAATAACCGTCACACAGATCTGCAAGTTCTCTATCTGAAGAATGCATCTGGCCGTGGCATCCGGCTGACGCGCATAGGGCTTCGCGTTTATAATCCCCTTCAATCACAACCCGCTGCTGAGGAATTCGGCATTGATCAATAAGTTTCTCATCCAGGCAAGGCCAGATGATCGATTTATACTGCGACTTGAGCATAATTCACCATAGCCGTCACAATGCATTCTTTTGGTCATCAACACCCCCTTCCGTGGTGTCTCTTGTCCACTACTCTATTTTACGTGGCTACACAATGGCAGATTGGCTGTCTTCGTCTGCATGAGCCCGTTGGCTTTACAATGACGCGCAGTCGCAGATCGCGGCAGTACCGTATGTATGGTGTCTGCTTTGACTCCAATACTTGGTAACAAGTGGCACTACCCAAAAGTTACACATCATGTGATATCTATCGCATATGCAATATTCAATTAACCTTCCGCCGTGAAAGACTAACACGGAAATCCCATCATGTGGATGCTATCCAGGTCTTCAATCTTCTTTGAACTACTTTGCAAGTTGTAACTATTGATATGCTGTGCTTGGCTTCTGACGCCGATCTTTCCGGATGAAACACACGGCAATCCAGTCAGATTTCCACTCCATCCACGCGTCGAGGGGTTCACGGCCATATTAGCACGAGTGGCCGAGCAGACTCGTGTTGGAGCACACTTTCCAGTCAAGTGTCCGCTCAATCCACACGTCAAGGGACTGACCGCCAACACGAGGAGCTGAAAAGACTCGCTGGCGCGGTTTCCGTAAGAGGTTCCCGACTAATTTCTCAGCACCCATTGACAGACAGTCTTCTTTATCAGGCCGTTGCTTGATTCTTATCGCGGAAGACCAGTGCAGGTCATACCTACCAACCAAGACACAAGCAAACAATTGTCTGTCATCCATCATCTCTTTGCCCGCTCCATCACTTAATGGTATTGCGTATGCATTGGCCATTATCTGAAAGACTGGTCCAAGTGCACCAGCCCCCAATGATGGAAGAGGGACATCCAAAAACCCCAACCTATAGCCAGGATCCCCAGGACCCTCCGCTTCAGGATGTCCAGGCTCCGCCATCATACCAAGAACTAGTGCCTACGCGCACCTCTTTGTCGTTTCCCCCAATAATGAACGGATATTATGACAGGAATCAAGAAGTTCTACTTGTGCTGTGCCTCCCGCGATGACCGCTTATTCATCGTTGAGATACACACAGGCTTCAGCAGAAAACCGCCTCTTGGTTCACGACCTGGAATACTGCTGCGCAATGGGACCGATTCCAAGGATCCCATCATCGCAGCTGCCGGCGACGAATCGCAATTCGCCGCTCGAGCCTACGCCTTCAACTCCACCACCAACATCTTCCTGCCGCCATTGGAGCCCCGCGCAAGCGTCCTCGACATGGACACCGAGAGTATGCGCGCCTCAGTATCAGCGGAAAAGGTGGCGTTTCTGTTTTCCATTGAGGTTGGTGAGAAGCAGCAACGCGAACGTTTCGAGTGGACAAAATTGAAGAAAGGGGAAGACCATGAGGCAAAGTCGGGTGGCTTCAGACTTGCGCAGGTCTCCAAAAGACACGGTAAGCCGCAGATGAGCTCCGAAGCTGCTTCTGAATCTGTCGAAGAGGGGCCTTCGTCTTCTCCGGAGGAACCTGTGAACCACGGGTCTCTTACGCTGCCATCGTGGTCCTCGGGCCTGTCCAAGATGACTCACCGACTTTTGCCACGATTGCAGACTAGTGCCTCGTCCATGGGAAATTGTTGGGCGTTCATGGTCGTCATAACTGCTTTGAGGCTTTGGGAGATGAACGTGCAAGGAAGGAAAAGTAAGGTTGGAGTATTGGTTGAAGGAAAGATAGAGGAGGTTGAAAAGACCAGACTCGCTAGCTGAGCCGGCATCTCTTGGTGTCCAAAAACAATCGGGCACCGCTTTAAACTGCTGGTTACTGTGTGAGGGCTCTTGTGATTTAAAACCGGTGTTTATTCTACCACAACTAAAGACTCCATTCTGGTTCGAAGGATAGTGGTTCATGTCTGACTTGCCAACATCATCCGATGCCTGAGCAAGGGGAAAGACAAAGAGCAAGAGAGCTACAAACATGACATGTTCAACGGCAACAAGTGTCAGCCAGTGCAAGTAAGCTGTTATCGCAATATAGTCGTAATAGCCCCGCGAATCCCCGCACTACCCTAAAGTGACTTCGCTGAGATTATACTCCCTGAGGTCAGGTACCTTGGATTGAGGATATAACTCGCAGGTTTGCCATACTCGGCTATTGGCGGAACCAGCGCGACCTTCCACTCCGTAAATACGTCGTGGCTACTTAGTTTCACATCAAAACAACGTTTTAGTTCTCAGGAGTCAGCTACGAGTCTGAAAACACAGAAGTGTTCGTTCCTGTGTTTTCAACCAAACGGAGGAAATAGCACCAACATGGTAGCGTCCAAAGAACGAGCTTTAACGCGAAGCAGCACTTCCAAGCCACTTGGAACACTCGAGCCAGGGTGATTAGGTTAATTGTATCGGGATACAGGATTAGATAGTCACATAGACGTGCGTAGGGGCTGCAGAGACCTTCAGAACACACAGAGATGTCTTTGGATGGTTGATGACTCGAGCGCTGCATAGAAGCAGTGCCCATGCATAGTGGCTGCGCCGTCTTTAGCTGGCGGACAATCTTCCCGCAGCTGCAAGACATGTCAGTAATGATAAGCCAACTAAGGTACCCATAGGAGAGCACTTATGTGTTCAGAAGGTAAGGTAGTTATGTTAAGCTCTAAGCTCCAAGGCAGAGTTCACATACCATCCCACGGGACATGCAATAGTCACCAGCAAAGCAGTAGGAATAATTCTTCTGAATTCTCTGTCCGGTCTGTCTGTCGGGTTGCCAACCACACCCCCACCCCCCCCCCCCCCCCCCCCCTCCCTTATCTCCAAAAGCACACAACTCTTTGTGGGAATAAAAATTTGCTGGAATCGAGCCACCACCCCTTTGCTGTATCCTCATTGCCCGAGGAAAAGTTACATACTCTCTGAACACCAATGGATGAAAAGTAGACGAAAAATGAAAAAAAATGAAGGGAGAAGAAACACCCCGACAAGCCCACTCCGGTTTCCTTTTCCCACCCAGACCTCTCTTCTAGGTCAGGCCAAGAAGTAAAAAATGAAGTAGAACCACAATGTAGGGGCCCAAGAATGCAACAACAGCTGACCCTATGCATACAACACGTGCTACCCAACCCACCCGCTCGCCAGTGCCCCCTTTCAGAATCATGTCTAGGTTACATAAGTGTCGCAGCACTCAAGACGGTGTGTGCTTTCTCTTCTAGCTTGCTGGAATTTTGCTTTCAAGAGGATGACGACTCCGAGTCCTTAGCGGCCAAGAGCTCAATCATCTTCTCGTACTCTATATCCTTGTCCAGAGGGTCGCGGCCAATCGCCTGGCAAGCCTCTCTGAAGATTTCGTCTGACTTTGTCGTGCCGGCTGGCTGCTTCTCTCGCTTCCTCCACTCTTCAAACCACTTTTTGTTGAATTTTTGAACAAACTTGGACGTGATAGGGCCCCACATCACCGACTGCTGCTTAGGGGCCGGGGCATCAGGAGCCGTGGAGTCGGGTCTTGATGGTGGCGCGGCAATTTCCTTGCCGTTGTCGTCCTTCTCGGGTTCACGCTCGCCTCGAGGCAGGCGCATGGCCAAGAGCACGTATTCTGCCCGCGTCATGTTGTCCATCACATCATCCATGTACCGTCTGACCTCGTCAGGGGGTGCGACGACTCTCTGAAGATAGTCGAGGTTTCGTCCAGAGGGAGAAAAAATTCTGATGGTGACGGGCTGGTAGTAGTCGAGCTTGGCGTCTCCTCCGTACTCCAGTTGGCTGCCCTTGCGGACAATCAAGAATGAGGCAACCACCTGCTGACCACCTGGCAGATACTCCAGGATGCTGTACTTTGGGAATAGGTAACGATCGCCGTTCCCGCCGGTGAAGTCCAGACAGACGCCTGATATCTCAGGTCGCACTGGCTGCGGTGGACCCTTGGAACGCAAAGCCTGCTGCGGAGGATGTTGTAATTGAGGTGTGGGCGATGCCGCCGGCGCCGGCTTCGGCGAAGGCACAGGGGCTGTGGCCGGTTTTGGGGGATGCCCGTTCAGGACGCCGTTCACTGGAGTCTGCGGGGTTGATGGTTGAGGCTGAGGAGTTTGACCACCCTTCAATTCCTTGTGCAACTTGTCAAGCACTGCCTTCAGGTCTGTCGCATCGGTGAACCCCGGCTGGTTCTCGGCTATCCGTCGGATCATCGTGCGTACTTTGTTATCGTCCAAGGCTGATCTCACCAACGCAACTACTAAAGGATCACTGCCCCGAGGGGGAAGCAACTCGCTCGACTTCTGGCGCGGGTTCGTTGAGAGCACGATGTCCAGGATGGTGCGCACCTCGTCAGCAAAGTACTTGACTGTCCTCCCGTCGACAAGTAATCTGTCTGCTGAAGGTCCCTGCTGACCTCCCTTTCTCTTATACTCAACCGTAATTTGGTCAATAATTTTTTGGAAATTAGTAAGCTCATCGGGCTTTGCTTCTCCTGCCGCAACTCGCTTCATTAGATCGCGGAGCATAGGATCTTCTGACGCCTTTTCGGCCAACGTCATAATGATAGGATCGGTGCCTTGAGGCTTGGGAGCCGCAGGTTTTGCAGCTCCTGCTGCCGGCGTCGGAGTTGCGCTTGCTGGTCGTGAGTTTGGCATAGAATGTGACGGGCCAGGCTGACCGGGAAGGTGTGACGGAGTGCCCGGCGCAGGCACTGGTCCTTGCCCAGGCGCTGCAGCTGGTGCTCCGGGGGCCATTGGCCTGGGAGGAGGTGGTGTCGCGGCGGCAGGTCGTACAGCGTCCAAAGTCCGTGGTGAAGGAATTGGCTTGGGGGGTTCAGTTGCCGGCGCAGACGGTGCTCTCGATGGCGCTTGCTGGGGTGCAGGCGAGTGTGAAGCTGGTGTCGGGGCTGGCGGCGTCGGCTTCGACTCGGCTGGCGCAATAGGAGGGTTTGCATTTGTTGTCGCTGGAGTGGGAGGAGGCGGCATGGCACCATTTGGGGGCCCATACTGCAGAATTGGCCGGAAGGTTGCCTGAGTAGTGGGCGCAGGCGGCTTCGGGTCCTTGATAGCCCACATGGTGGCCTCAAAGACGTGCGGCTCAATGGTAATTTGCACCTGGCCGATCTTGCTCATGGTGTCTTTGGCCGGGTTCTTAGGATCCTCGGTCGCGCCCTTTCTCCTCAACGGCTTGGTCCAGTACTTCTCGAACATGCCCTCGGCCATCCATCTATGCCGCGACCGTGCAAGGGACTCGGCCATAACACCACTGTAGCATCTGTTAGTGGGAGAACTCGGCCTGCGCAGACTGACGACGTACCTCTCCTGAAACGACTGGTAGTCCTTATTGGGAAGATCATCAGGTTGGGGGTCCTCCACGGTGGGCAAAGGCTTTCCGGGCTGGATCGATTTGGGCAGTGCCGGCGGCGGGGGCTCCTCGACGGGAGCAGCAACTGGGGTGACGGATCGATGCTCGGGAGGGGTGACGGTGCGCTTCTTCGCAATGTGCTCGACGCGCGCAGCAGCCCTTGCGGGCAGTTTCCTCTTCCTCTCCATGACTGTGTACGTCTTCGCCTTTTCCGTCTCCCTGTCGCGAGAAGTTCAGGGTATCACGGGTCGATTTCCGAGCGTGTCGGAATGGTCATCATAAGCGAGGGAATACACAGCCCTCGACTGCGCGCGTGCTCGTCGGGTTCGGTCTCGAGATGAGAGGGAGAGGGATAGTCGACAGCGGCGTGCGTGAGAGGGCGGAAGAGCGAGTCGGTGGGTTACGGCTTTCGATTTCGGGGGTCGTCGCGGGAGCAGGCTGGGGATGGGGTGGAGGAAGAGATTTGGAGACTCGGGGACGGACAGGTTCGTGGGAATTGAATTGGGGTGGATGGGATATAGTATTATGGGAGCTCTGTCTCTGTATGGATCGGAGAAAGGTACAGGGCAGATACATGGGCGCGGCACTGAGCCCGCGCAGGACGGTTGTACCTCTGAGGCGTGGTGCGGCAGCTGAATGGTTCGGAGAGGTGAAAAGATACATGCGGCATGTACCTGAGGCTCCCAGGTATCCGTCGTTGTTGCCGTTGCTTTGCCTGACTGGCTGGGGATCTGAGGTGGACGGGAACACGCCTTACCAAACCTAAGGCGCTGCGGGTACACGCTGCCGCTGCTGCTGCGCTGGACGTCCACTGGCCGGAGCCTCTCTCTTTCTCTCTGTGTCGCTGACACGGGGTGCAGTCAGTCTGGACTTCCTTCCTTCCATTGCAGTGCTCTCCGGCGAAAGGCGGGCTGCAAGTTTAACAAGGATCTGGTCGTCTGATTGGCCGGGAAGAGGGGGGGAAACTGGGTACTTGCCGCGCCCTGACTGGACGAAGGGCTTGGCTCAGCTCCGCCTGCCACTTAAATCGCGCCAAAATCCGTCTCTTAGACGGGATGTACCTTTGTACCGCGGCACCCTTGCAGCTGGCGTACCCACTCTTGCTCCACATTATGTGATTACCTAAGGCAGGAATGCGTGCCGTTTTCCATGACCTTCCCATCCCAGTCGGTCCCTCTCGTTGGTCTCGCCTCGCCCTCGCCCTCACCCTGCAGGCTTTCTCCCATCAATTGCCAATCTGGCTCGCTCCGGGTGTCATTGCTGCCGACCTGCTCTGGCGCCAGCGTTTGTCCAGTGAGGAGCGGGAAGGCAAACGCGGGTGGGTAGAGCGGTGTGGCTGTGAAAGCTTGGGGGCAGTGACAACCTGTGATCTGGGCAGATTCCTCTCGCATTTCGCAACACGCCCTCTGCACCAGTAAATTACCTACCACCGCTGCAACCAATCCCAGGGCAGCGCCAAATGAAGTCTTGACGTCCAGCAATGCCGGAAATATTGAACCAGATACTGCACTTTCTCCAAAAAAACGGTTGGCTAAGCCGTCAGTCGATTGACTGGCCATGGTCAGCACAAAGAATTCAGTTTTATACCGAGGCCCGTCTGCTGTCGTCAGAGTGCGGCTGATACCGCAAATGTGGAAGGCCGCCGCATCTTGGGGACATCCTGCCTCTAGTGCAGAGTACCTCCAGACGGATGTGCGATGCAACTAAACAGAAAGTACCAAATGATAAGGCATCCGGTGACACCATCCCTGCGGGCCGCAGACAATTCCAACCTCAACCAAGCAACCAGCTCCATTAGGCATCCCCGAGGGTGGCCACGACATCGCCTCCCGTTACCTGTATATAGCCCGGAACCATCACGACGCCCTCCCCCAAAGCGATTCTCTCTCTTCGCCTGAAGAGACTGTCCCACCGCCCACGTCATGACGGTTCCGCTGTCTCCGATCCTGCGATCCGCCGTCTGGGTGGTCGCAGCTCCTCTGGGTCTTTACTTCACATTTTTGGCCCTCGGCGCAACACCATTTTTTCAACGACAGTGAGGTTTTACCAGTTCATTCGCTTCCCAGTACTTTATCTGACTCTCTCCTGCAGTTTTCTGTACGCGCACAAGATAAACACACTTTGGTGGCGCGGCGTCAATGAACCTGAGCGGTTTGGCTTTGCTAGTCAGTCCACGTACCATCACCGCCACTGGTGACGCGCAATTAGCTGACCCATGTCTTGCATAGAGGGCCAAGTCACACCCTTCTCCCTCAACACCCCAGATGGAGTGAACTTGTATGCTTGGCATGTCATGCCCTTGCCAGCCTATCTGAAGCAGGAAGAGAGATTCTCAGCACAGAGGCCTGGCTTTTGCGAGGACTTCACCCAGACCGAGTCTTTCAAGGCGCTTAAGGAGGACCCTGAAGCCCGCGTTGTTCTATCATGTAAGCCACGCTGTCCTATCTAAGGCTCACTCATACTAATATGCTGCAGTTCATGGTGTAAGGGGCATCCACCTGAAGCGCATTTTGACATTGCTGACAAGAACAGAACGCCGGAGATATCGCGCAAAACCACCGTCCTGACAGTTACCATGTCATCACCGACACCTCTTCGTACCACGTGTTGGCAATCGATTATCGCGGCTTTGGCCACTCCACAGGCACTCCCTCTGAAGACGGCCTTATCCAAGACGCAGCTACTCTGATTGACTGGGTCATTAACGTTGCCGGCGTCTCCTCAGACCGCATCGTCCTTCTCGGCCAGAGCTTGGGCACTGCCGTGACCAGCGGCGTCGCAGAGCTGTACGCCTCCCAGGGCATCGAATTTGGTGGAGTCATCCTTGTCGCCGGCTTCAGTAACTTGCCCAAGATGCTCAGTGGTTACAAGATCGGCGGACTCCTCCCCGTTCTTGGCCCTCTGAAGGTCTGGCCTGGATTCTTGGAGTACATGGAGACCTTCATCTACGACAAGTGGCCGTCCGCTGACAGGCTTGAGAGCCTGGTGAAGCTGACCAAGCGAAGGCTACGCCTGACTCTGATATCCGCCAAGGACGACTCGGACATTCCCTGCGAGGAGAGCAGCAAGCTGTTCCGGGCTGCGGCTAATGCCACTGTTGATGGCGGGCTGAGCGACCATGCATTCGAGTCTTGGAAGGAGGTACGGACGATCCACAAGGGCAAGAACGCATTCGTCACGACATGGCATGCGGACCACAATATCATTATTCGACAAGAAATGTTCCCATACGGAGGTAAGCGACTGGTATAAAATGATGCTTCGGCAGGCAGTAACTGACAAGACTAGGACACAACGACATCATGGGATATGCGCCCGTAATCCTCGCAGTGATGCGGTCTTTCGACCTTGTAGGCACTGCGTATGATACTGCTGGCTCTGACACCAGCAGCCGAACATTGTAAATATGCGCCTTCACTTTCAAGACTTCAGAGTAGGAGTTGTACCAGACTTTGGAGGTGCTTTTGATAGACTTTAGTAGCGTAGACATCTGGCGCGATGCTATAGATTTAGTAATGATGAACCGATTTTAGAAAAAGCTCAGTGTCCTTGTCCTTTCGGGCGACAGGGACTGAGTTTTGGTAAGGTAATGAATCTGATGAATCTGGCGCGAAGTCTCGTAGACAGACGTATGGACATTCTTTTGAACCGCCTACCGAGCTCACTTTAGGCACCAAGTCGACTTTCGCAAGACACGTGCACTAGAAGAGCGGATAAGGACACATGAATCCAAACCGAAATGCCGTCATTGAATTAAGGTGAGATACGTGGCTGATCAAATGCACATCAGCAGGCAGCGACAGCGTCTTCGGACCCCTAACTGGAGACCACGCGATCGCTAAGGCGCCCTAGCGCCAGGTGGGATGGCTGCCCCGCAGTGCCCGCACACAGCACCCCAGCAGCTAACCCCGCCATGATGCAGTCACAGCTGGAAACTGCCCGGCCACATGAAACTGTCCTCTCGCCCGCCAAAACTTCTTCCCCCGCCATTCCCACCTTCCAAGCTTGTCCAGAGCTCCAAAAGCTCGAACCACGACACCGCCGCCACCACCCCGCCTGCGATTGCCGCAAACAACACCCCACGAACCCGCGCGAACGAATCGACCAAGCAGCAAACATGCCTGCCGAGGAGTCCAAGCCCCTCGACCCTGCCGTCAAGCAGGCCGAGGACGCCGTCGCCGAGGCGGAGAACAAGGGCAAGGGCAAGGAGCCCGAGGTCGAGTCGGAGGAGGAGGAGGACGATGCGCCCGAGGAGGCCGGCGCTCCTGCCTCCGGCGGCGCCAAGAAGAAGAAGAAGAAGTCCAAGAGAAAGAAGGTCAAGGAAGCTCTGACCGGCAAGCCCAGTGACCCCGAGCAGCAGATCCGCGATGCGATCGGCGGGCTCACGCCCCAGCAGCTCACCGAGCTCCTGGCGCTGAACCCCGCCCTCGCGAACGAGATTGGCGCCAGCGGCTCCGGCAACCAGTCGGCGGAGCAGACGGCCAACGCGCTCAAGCAGCTTAACCTGCAGGACATCATGACCGGCCTGGCCTCGGCTGGCAAGAACGCCAAGGACATGGCGAGCTACAAGTTCTGGGCGACGCAGCCTGTGCCCAAGTTCGGCGACGGAGACAAGAAGATTGAGGAGGGCCCAATTCGCGTCCAGAAGGTTGAGGACGTCCCCAAGGAGCCGGCGCCAATGGTCAGCGGCTTTGAGTGGGTTACAATGAACCTCGAGGACGAGGGCGAGATGAAGGAGGTGTACGAGCTGCTGAACGGACACTACGTCGAGGACGACGAGGCCATGTTCCGTTTCAACTACTCTCCTGCCATGCTGCAGTGGTAAGGATGGGTATTTGCTTTGATAGACAAGTGGAAGCTGACTTTTGCAGGGCCCTCATGGCTCCTGGCTGGCGCAAGGAGTGGCACGTTGGTGTGCGCGCTTCTCAGTCCCGCAAGCTGGTCGCCTTTATCTCAGCCATCCCCGTTAACTTGCGCGTGCGCAAGAATGTCATCACCTGCTCCGAGGTCAACTTCATGGTTGTCCACAAGAAGCTTCGCGGCAAGCGTCTGGCGCCTGTCTTGATTAAGGAGATTACCCGCCGCAGCAACCTGCGCGAGATCTGGCAGGGTCTGTACACTGGTGGTGTCGTTCTGCCCAAGCCCGTCAGCACCTGTCGCTACTTCCACCGCGCCATCAACTGGCAGAAGCTGTACGAGGTCGGCTTCAGCCCGCTGCCTGCCAACAGCAAGCCTCAGTTCCAGATCCGCAAGTATGCGCTGTCTGACAACACGTCGACCAAGGGCCTGCGCGAGCTGCAGGAGAAGGACATTGAGCAGGCGAGCGCCCTTCTGGACAAGTACCTCGCCCGCTTCGATATGGCGCCCCAGTTCTCCAAGGAGGAATTCAAGCACTGGTTCCTGCATGACAAGGAGAAGGGCGGCGAGCAGGTCATCTGGACCTACGTTGTTGAGGTTTGTATTGAATCGCCCCCTTTGTTGACGACATGGCTGACCAAAAACAGAACAACGGCAAGATTACCGACTTCTTCTCCTTCTACTGCCTCGAGTCTACGATCATCAACAGCACCAAGCACCAGGTCATCCGCGCCGCCTACCTCTGGTACTATGCCTCCGAAATCGGCACTACCCAGCCCCTCGACAAGGAGGCGCTCAAGCCGCGCCTGAACTCGCTCATCGGCGACGCTCTCATCCTGGCTAAGAAGCACAGATTCGACGTCTTCAATGGCTTGTCCCTCCTCGACAACGGCCTCTTCCTGGAGCAGCAGAAGTTCGGACCCGGCGACGGCCAGCTGCACTACTACCTCTTCAACTATCTTGCGGCCCCGATTGCCGGAGGCGTCGACAGACGCAACAAGCTGGACGAGGAGAACCTGAGCGGCATTGGTTTGGTCATGTTGTAAATGGAGATTCGCAAAAGGGCGAGCACGGCACCGGGAGAAACGGTATGACTGCATGCATACGGCGTTGGATGGATGCGGAGGTATCATAGTACATGAATAAAAGCTCTCACAACCTGCACACTATCGTGTATCCTGTCTCTATGTGTCTGCTCAACTCACCGCCCGGCGGATCGTCCCATCCCCCTCATGGCAAGGGAAACTGCTTCTCGACCGCATCGATCCTGTCCACGTACCACTTATTCATCCATGCCACCCTGTCCATGATGGGCGCATGCCCCATGCCGTCAATAAACTCAACCACACTGGGCTCCAAATGCTTCGCCAGCAACCGGCCGTGGTGCGCATCAATCATGACATCCGCATTGCCGTGGATGACCGCGATCCTCTCCCTGCCGACCGCGTCCGCCAGCTGCGCCAGCTGCTCGGGCGACTTGTGATGCCACCCGGCGCTGACGAGCTGCAAGATGAAGCCGCGGATGCTGAAAAGCCCCGGCGTGCAGCGCTTCACAAGCTCCTGCGCCTGGAAGCGCTGGAAGTTGCTGTCAAACCGACCATACCCCTTCCCGCCGTCCGCAGGGCCGCACTTGGGCGTGCTCTCGTCGGGCAGCTCGGCGGCCTCGTCGGGCTGGACGAGCCACTCCGCGGGGAAGAGCTTGAGGGCGGTGTCCTGGATGCTGCGGTCCATGGACTTGGGGACGAGCATGGCGGCGCGGTCGGCGAGGTTGGTGAGCAGGGGTTTCGTGTTTTCGATCCAGGGGGCGGTGCAGAGGAAGGTGACGGAGGCGAAGAGGTCGGGCGCGGCGAAGGCGAGTTCTTGGGAGATCATGCCGCCCATGGAGATGCCGAAGAGGTGGACGGAGCGCGGGGTGGAGGACCAGCCGACGTGGATGAGGACGTCGAGGGCGTCGAGGGCCATGGCGGAGGTGGTGTAGCGGGCGTAGGGGACGTCGGAGCCGCCCATGCCGCGGTTGTCGAGGATGAGGACGGAGTAGCGGGCGGCGTTGTCGTGGCCGAAGAATTTTGTTTGGCGCTGCCAGGAGGTTTTGACGCCGGCGAGGCCCATGATGAACTTTGGGGGTTTGTCAGTGGCGAAGAGGATACAGAGGCGGGGGAGAGAAGTACGATGATCTTGGAGGGGCCGTGGCCGTGGATTTCCCAGGAAATGTTGAAGGGCCCGTCACGGTCTTTGGCGACGGGACACTTTCCTGAGCGGTCGGGCTCGAGGTTCCATATCGTTGAGGGATAGGAAGGGTGGTTCATTGTGGCTTCCGCCGTTGGGAAGACGGGGACCCTTGGAGTGCATTTTGGTCAGATGAAGCCATCCCCGGGGTTGAGTTTACATTGTGAGTGGCAGCGCTTACTTGGTAGCCATGTTTGCGGGTTGTCTCTTTGCCCCAAGAACCTTTTTGTGAGGTTGCAGCGCAGATCGTTTGAGGTTACACCTGCGGCTGGATTTAGAATCGTCGTTAGTTTACGCGCATGTATGTAAGGTAGATCGCGAGAGAGAGTGGATTTTGAGCAAAGAGGGAAGTAAAAGCTCAAGGGTGGCGATGGGGGAGGAGGGTGTTACAGATGAGTTTTGATTGAGGCTGTGAGCTGCTCTTGTCTGAGAGACACAGAAGAGAGGTAGATTGAGAGCCGGGGGAGCTTGATCCTTGAGCTCGAACCCACCCTCCTTGATTGAGAATATGCGACGAAAAGAAGCAAGCGTATTCGCTACCTTGACCCGAACCAGACCTGCGGGTTTTTGGCGATTTGCGAGGCGGTTATATCGGAAACAGGACTTATTTAACAAAAAGTGCTGCAGAAGGCGGCGTCTGGGAGTGCGATCATGGGATTCCACGTTAGCTCGACAGAGATGCTTCAGAGAGGACGGCGGTGACGTTGATGAGTGTCGGTGTCAGTTATCAGGATACATTTTGTCGGTATCCGAAATGGATGCTGGCCTGGAGTACATTGATAGCAGCAGCACTCAGCGGCGGCGCGGCTTCCTGTGACCCCTAGTCCCACATGAACAATGCCTCGGCCCCGGGGAGCTTCAGTCGCCGCGTGGAAGCTCCTAGCTCATGGGACGTTATTGATCCCCGTGAGTCTTGGGCCAGTCAGGGAGTTGATATACATCGGATGGCGCGGAATTCCGAAGGTTTTTAAGAGCTTAGGGTCACTCATCTAGTCTTTCACGAAAGGGTCTATGAGCTTATTGTGGATTGCAGAAAGACCTTATTCAACCATTGAAATGTCCAATGCTTCTGATAATGACGGAACCCCGTCCGCGGTACGTACCTGCCTCGGAATAGCTTGGCGACAAGCCAGAGCTCGGGCCACGTGCTGACTGAACTACTTCTCTCAAGCAGCTCACCGCCTGCCTCCTTCCCCCCTCCTTACGGCAGAATCAACAGCTGGCGCAAGTCTGACCCTGTTTCGTTTGGTCATCGAACAGCTCAGCTCGACATCAAGCAACAATATTATTTCGTCCTGTGACGCCACATATCTACCGCCTT